GGAACCTATGAAGGAGGTAAGCCGGGGGAAATGCCCCAATCCAATCTACTCTGTCACACAGTCGGCTACTGCCTTCAACATCTCCTGGTAGATGTTCTTCACTTTTGTCAAGGCTTTAAACTTCGTCTGAGATCTGGCAAGAGCCTATGTGGAACACACGCAGACAGACAGTTTGGGAGCTAATTTATTCATCTACCTGTCTGCGTACTTCCTCGAAAATGATGTCAGTGGATGCATGCAAACGCATGATATAGTTTGTGTAGTCGGGCAATTGGTCCAGACTCAGGGCTGCATTTCCATTGGGTAGGCAAAGGCTCCCAAGACCATTCAACAGAGTGTTGAAGACTGCCTGCAGTCGCTTCACCTCGGCTCGCAACAATGGATTGCTGGAGGCAGTAAGTAAGCTTGGAAAGTGACTTACGCGGAGGGAAAGAGGAAGCCGGCTTTGGTATAGTCCTCCTCACTAACTGATTCCCTACCAGTACAAAATGATACAGTGCTTAAAAAACAGACTGTTCTGTAAACTCCAGAGCTCTGGTTGTTGGATTTTTTCGTTGAAAAAACTTTTCAGGAATCTTTGTCGGTAGGTCTTTTGTTGGAGCAGGAAGAAATGAAGGTTAAAAACAGATACCAATGGTAGACGTTTTGACGTTTTGCCTTGGTAGATTGACCGCGTTTATGGCTGCCTTTTCAAATTTTTCTATGGCCAAACTCACTTCATATGGGTTTCTCTTTAGCTCTCCTTTATCGAGAGGATGTAATTATAACTACTAAAAACTCACCATCCATCGCAGAACGGTAGTCCAGCAGTTCTTGGGGAACCCTCGAATCCTCAAACAGAGAGAGATTTCGTGACATTGTCTGGAGTAAAATGGAGAATATAGTCGGATTGAATGACCTAAAACGACACTTAATACAACAGATTTATACGCTACCTGCTGTGGATGGCCGAAAAAAAACAATTAACTCAGCCCTCTGATGGCAGAAGTCACAATCGAACGACTACCTAGGACAGGCAGTTGTTCCGAACTTACTCATCTCCTCTTTAGTCGGCCACAATGGTCAAGGGCTGTGAATGGTTAAGGAGAATACGAATACGTCTGAAACAGTCACAAGCTAAGTCTATGTAAGTTGAAAGCAGTTGTTATTGCTACTTCATTCTAATTATATTCAGGATTCATTTGACCCAGTCGGGAAAACTCAGCGGCCTTGGCGGGATTTGAGTTCACACCAGCAAGGGAAAGGCTTAAGTGCAGCCAACGCTCCAGCTAACACAGCTACGAGGCCTCTACTGGGAACCGTGCGCTTACTCCTATCTGGGTCAATTTACCGACCCAGCTAATGCGGCGTATGCAATCCCCCAATTCTGATACAGAAAGCTGACTGCCCAAGCAGGATTACCAAAGCAATTGATGTAGAGTCAACCAGATGTCTACCAGACACACTTAGTTAGTAGAGAGTTTGGCAAATTTAAAAAAATGATCCACTTGTGAAAAACTCGGCTGTCTCTGTGAGATCCGAACCCACGCCAGCAAGGGGAAGACTTTAGTACAGCCAACGCTCTAGCCAACTGAGCTACGATAACCCCACCGCGAGCCGTGAGGTTAAGCAGCTTGGCATGATTCGAACCCACGACGGCAGGGGACAGTGCGTCTGGTAAACGGCTGGCGGATTCTCCATCGGATACTTAGGTAGTCCTACTTGGACACTCAGCTTGCTGTATCAGAATTGGCGGATTTAATACGTTGCATTAGGCTGGGCGGATAAATTAGCTCCAGTGTGATCAAAATGACAGGTTCCGGTGGGCATCTCATAGCTCAGCCGGCTAGAATGTTGGCCGTACTAAAGAAAAAACACCAAAAGCTATACTAAAGCTAGTGTGGGTTCGAATCCTGCCGAGGTCGCCTTGTTTTTCACAACTGGGTCAAATGAATTATTCAAAGTTGCAGAAATCCTCAATATATATTCAGGGTTATTCTCAAATCCTAATCTGAAGCACAAAGTAAATAAAAAAGTGGAATATTATAATCACTTGCCGTTACAGGAAGTAAGTTGAGTTGCGGGAACTATGGGATCTGTATTGGAGACCAATAAATGCAAACGATAGAGAAGGCTTATTTT